AAAAAAAAAAAAAAAAAAAAAAAAAAAAAAAAAAAAAAAAAAAAAAAAAAAAAAAAAAAAAAAAAAAAAAAAAATGTTGATTATAATATAGACATGACATAAAAAAGAGTAGGACAGTCACGACAATAAAGTGCAGGAGTAAAGAGGCACTTTACTATGAAAAGAGATTAGTTTAGAAAGAAAGATTAGAAAAAAAAAGGAAATCTACAAAGACTTATCTGATCAGAATGAAAAGTCCAAACTGCGACTTATTTTAAAACTTCACCAGATATGTAGTGGTAAGAAAAAAATAAATAACCTAACAGGTAAGAGAAAGAATAGGATAGTAAAAGAGATCAGAAAAAAACATGAAGATTTATTTAATAAGCAGAAAATAAGAGCTTATTAAATAGACCATGTAACTGATACTTCTGTGAAACATAAAGAACTATCTGAAAATTCTTGGAAAGAAAGTGAAATAAAAATTAGAAGATAGAAGAACCTTGGAAGGAAATAAGAAAAGAAACGTCTACACCAATTATAATACAAATCTAAGATTATAATGGTATTATAGTGTAGCCAATTACCTATACCAATCTAAGGAGTAATTAAATAACAACCAAGAGAAATAGACAAACAATAGAAAGAATACTCACTTGAACGATCTTGAATGAAACCTGATATAAAATTCAATCTAGCCCAGGTAGTCAGTATCCTGGCAAGAAGAAATCATAGATCTGGAAAAATATAACCAACTCAGAAGATACCTCCAAGACCAATATATCGACTCTAGATTGACAAAAAAGAAAAAAAGGAAGCTAATAAACAATGGAAGGACTTTTATGTTAAAACAGAACCTAGTTTACAAGAAAAACAAAAGAGATCCTGAAAAACCTTTACGAGTAGTCCAAGCCTATGAAATAGAACCGATTCTATTTCTGATCTACGATCCCCAATTGGAGGACATTTTGGGCCGAAGTAATGTTTGAAAAGATCTAAAAGATCTACTATTGGCCCCAAGTGTTCAAATGAATTCAAGATTATGTGAGGTCCTGTGACTCATGCCAGAGAAGAGGAAAAAACAAAGTGAACACCCCTTTAAACCTGATACCAGTTATTACCCTATTTTACTAAATTGGAATTAATATCATGGGACCATTACCTATAACTCTAAGAAGTAATAGGTACATCATCGTAGCAATAGACTACATGACAAAATGGCCAGAAGCTAAGGCTTTTGGAGCTGCAAATGCCCAGGAAGTTGCTGACTTCCTGTATAACGATATAATTTGTTGTCATAGGTGTTCCAAGAAAATCCTGTCAGATCGAAGTACTCACTTTGAAACTAGTTAGTAAGAAGCCTTCTGGAAAAATTTCAGATTAAGCATATTCTATCAACACCCTACCATCCACAGACAAATAGACTTGTAGAGCGATTCAATAAAACGTTATGTGAATCAATTGCTAAATCAATCAAAAATGTGTTAGACTAGGATACTGTAATCTCACCTGTATTGTTAACTTATCGAACAAATCGCTATTCAACAACCAGAATAATGCCATTTTACCTTATGCATAGACAAGAAGCCAGACAACTAATTGAACCTAAGGCAATGATGAGTTAGGTACCACAACTATCAAACATACATTTGAACTATTGGAACATTTACCTCAAATCTGTAATGTAGCCAACACACAAGTCTAACTAGCCCAAATTAGGCAAAAACAATACTATGATCGAAAGATTAAAAACAGGTTAGACCTAAAGATCAGAGATAAAGTATTAGTATATCAAGTATCACAAGAATATTCCTGAAGTGTCAAATTCAACCTGAAATAGAAAGGACCCTTTTATATCTATGAAATCCTATATGATAATGTCTTTAAATTATACACCATAGATAGAAAGGTGGTAACTACTCCTATCAATAGCTGCCTATTGAAACTCTACTCCGAGCAACAGCAAGTTTAATGCTACGTTTCAATGAAACTATAATTTTTCTTGTTTTCAAAAAAAAAAAAGTTTTAGTAACAGGAACACACACACAAAAAAAAAAAAAAAAAAAAAAAAAAAAAAAAAAAAAAAAAAAAAAAAAAAAAAAAAAAAAAAAAAAAAAAAAAAAACTGAGAAAATCAGAGATTAATCAACAGATCAATTTCTCGAAAACTTATATAAGGGCAAACTGCCTAAAGAAAGAATTCTACAAAAAAAAAAATAAATATATATATATATAATAATCTTGAAAAATGGACATACAAGACATTATTGACGATATCACTGGCCTGGGTCCCCTCGACGTTGCTATGCCACCTCCACCTTTAAACCCTTTACAAGATTTGGTAGAAAGTGTAACTACTATATTTCCACTATTAACTTGTGCTATTCGGTTACAAAATAGAGTAGACATACTATTCTACGTCTATTATATGGGAATGCTTTTTGCAGAGAAACTAGTACACAACAGTCCCAGATACGAAGAGTTGTTACCCCATATTACTATAGCACAGCCATAAAGATCTACAATATTTTCTCTACCTTTGGTATTACACAAATATATCGAACCAATGTGGACACCTTCAATGATTTTAGATGGCTTCACAATGATGAAGTCTAGCAAATTATTAATAGAGCCTAATGCTCGTAAAACTCACATTTAAGTGTGGGAGAATGTGAATTGGGAAATGTGACTAGGCCGGATCTCATCTGAAGTCATTTGAACAATTCGTAGCATAATTTTCGAGTAGACCGATCCTTGACTTTTAAAGAGATTCTGGCATTATAATCATTATAATGATTATAACGATTTTAATAATTATAATAATTATAATAATTATAATTATTAAAATAATTATAATCGAGGTCTGGTGATCTTAGTGTAGTGGTTAGGTTGCCAGACCACCATGCAAGAGATCTGGGGTTCAAATCCTACTGTTGACGAATTTAAATAATTACCCAGACTTTTGTATCCAACTAACGGTAAACTCTGTTCGTTTCTGGAGTTGTAACCCTGTAAATCACGTTGCACTAATATCATCCAAATATTGGAAGTGTGACGGGGCATTTGGCGAGACATAACGTTACATGAATAAATCTTGATAGGATCTATGAGCAGGGGACCTGCATGGTAGAAATCTCGAGTAGGTGAAGTAGTACGGCTTTCGACGGTCACACTGATCAACACTTGATTCAAAAAGGAAACTATGATCAAAAGATGCAGATCGAGTCGAGTGCACATAAATCCATTCCACAGGGAGAATCAGTAACACCAACCTGGCTTGGCGGCTAACTGGATTAGGAGGATTTGCCTTATGAAACATCCAAGAAAATAGAATACAGAAAACTAGTGAAGAGCTACAGTAGGAACTGGGGTTGTATGAACATCTACAAGGGTCTAATCTAGGTGATCCCATAAAATAGGTACGGGCCACTCTAGTAGGTTTGCTTTGAGGTTAACTAGCTCTGCAATACTAGCAATGTGTCTGGTATAGTGTATCCCGAGAGGACCTAAGCTGATTTGGGTAAATGGATCTGTAATGAGCTAGCTAGCTTAAGCAGTTAGGTGTTGCGGTGACATTAGGTTTGGATCTGTATGGGTTAATGAACAGAGTGTTTAAATAGGTAACTCACAGGTGGGTTACAGGTATAGCAGCATAGTGTAG